ATGATAATAAAAATGTTCTATGTTAGTGCTGCTGAAGACCGTAGCTAATAGACATGTGTGGCTATGGAGGAGTACTTGAAATGTGGATAGTACAACCGAGGAACCAAATCTTAAACTTTATTTAATAGCCACATGTGACTAATGACTATCATAGCAGACAAAATGCCACTATAGAATTCTTTCTTGCTGCTGATGCTTTTTGAGACAGGGTCTCACTACATAGTGTAGGCTGCCCTTGAACCCAGGGTAGCCTCAAACTCATGGCAACCCTCCTGCCTCAGCCTCCTGAATGATGCAATTACAGGCACACACCACCATCCATGCCTAGCTATCATTTATACAATTCTTTTTTTTTTTTGGCTGGCTCAGGCTGCCTTAAGTGCAGGTCTGGTGCAGCATGTGGTGCTGAGGATCGAACCACAGTCCCCTGTACCTGACTGAGTTTGCCCAAGCAGGCACTTTAGATAACTGTGCTAACCCTCAAGGCCTATACTATAATTACAGAATTCTTAAGACACTGTAGTATGAAAACAATTCTGACTAACAAATATGTAAAGAGACTAACAATGCTATGCCTGCAAATTACCTATTAAATTACATTTAAAAAAAAAAAAAAAGCTCAACCCAGGTATAGTGGCATGTGACTGTAGTCTGAGATATTCAAGAGACTGAGCCAGGAGAATTGCTTGAGCCCAGAAGAATGTGAGATTAGGCAATATAGTAAAACCCTGTTCAAAAGATAAATTGGGCCCAAGTCTGAAAACAACGGAATAGAAAGATTACCATGAAGCTTCATGTTAAAGTTGAGCGTAATTGGGGCCGGGGAGATGACTCAGTAGAATAAGCGCTTGCTTGGCAAGCACAAGGGCCTGAGTTCAATCCCTGGTTCCACCAAAAAAAAAAAAAAAAATGTTCAGCAAGGTAGCACACACCTGTAATCCCAGCACTTGTGAGGTTTGAGGCAGGATCAGCCACATAGCAAGCTCAAGGCCAGCCTGAACAGTGTAGTGAGACACTGCCTCACAAAGCAAAAAAAAAAAGTTTCATTTCCCACTCCACACCCCTTGTAGCTCAGGCTGGCCTCAAACTCATGGTGATCCTCCTGCCTCAGCCTTTCAAATCCTGAGAAATACTGGCATGTGCCACCATACTCGGCGCTTACCTTTTATCTTTTAAAAATTTATTTTCAGTGGGCATTCCTGTAATCTCAGTACTGAGGGAAGTAGAGGCAGGAGGACTACAAGATCCAGTCCCACCTGGATAATTTAGTGAGACCTTTATCTCAAAATAAGTAAAAAAAAAAA